TAAGGAATTTAACCTGTTTTTAATCAATTAAAGTGCTGAAATTGGGAATTAAATGTGTCTACTCTTTTTAAGTCTTCATTTTTGTGACAGCAAAGTAAGGTACTTTCAAAGATTATTAACATTAAGAAAATAATAAAATACATATTTAAATTAGCATTAGCATTAAGAGCAGTGGGTTTTAAAATGAACTTTAAATCCAGAGCTTAGCCATTAAATTGTCCTGCTAGTGGATTTTTTCACTTTATCCTTAGACTTATGAAGCCCTGACTTAACTGGTAATGTAAACTTGGGCACCAAGAATCCTTCAGCAGGCCTAACACTGCAGACTGTCCTCCACCCTCCAATCTCCCTGACCGTGCAGACCAGCATTCCAAACAAATTAGTTCAATTTAATTTGAATCTTCCCGCCTGTTCAGGCAGCTAATAGACGTGTTCCCGAATTCTCTTTGTCTTTCTGTCTCCCCCTGCCTCTCCTCTTCCTCCTCCTCCTCCTCCTCCTCCTACATGTCTCCTGCCCCCCTCCCTGCCAGACTCAAGTCCTCTGAACCCCAATTAGATAAACAGGAGATGACAGCAGGACTGGTGGAGCACAGCCAGAGAGAAAGATGATGATAAAAGCGAGAGAGAGAAAGGGAGATAGAATTGGATACATAAACAGAGACAGAGGGCCTGCTCAGATCAGGCACAGTGACAGGGCTGAAGAGTTGGTATTTCTTTTGGTCACAGGTGGATTTTTACACCTGCACGTGTTTGGTTCTTCCATCATGACATTGCTTGCCACAATTTGAAAGAGGAATGAACCAGAAGGAAATGTCAATAAAGCAGTGGTGGCTCAGAGGAATTTTGGTATCATTATGGTATCCACTTCCACATCTTGGCACAAGCACCAGTGTTACCTGCTATTTATGTGGTTTCAGGTGGCAAAAACAAGATGTGGCCCTGTCTAAAGCCTTTGGGAAATTTCAAAGTTCCATTTTCACTCCTCACAACAATGAGATCCATTGTGGAAAACCCTTCACACCAAATCCTGTGAGAGATGACAGATGAATCTGTTTGCTCGGTTAATTGTCAGGTTGACCACCTGTTTAGAAATAAAACTTGCGGGCTGGAGGGAATTACCACCGCATACTCAAGAGTTTTGTTTCCTAAATCTTTTACAGCATTAAGGAGAAGAAATAAAATAGCAGAGAAGAAAAAAAACAAGAACATAAAAATAAGTGCTGGAGATAATTAGGATGCCATAAACCAAGGACGCAGTGATAGTAAAATGAGCCACTAAACGGTCAGAAATATTTAGTAAGTCACAGGTCGTGAACTCTCTCTCTCTCTGACTTATCCGCGACAGCGTGCACAAATGCACATGCAGATCTCACTTCTGTCAATGGTCACGCCAAGCAGTGCCTAAAGCCCAGCCTCAGGCAGGGTCTTAAAGGTCACGATCTCAATGCCGCTTTAGAAGGTCGTGCAAAGTTCATGACACAAGCCTGACCATATTTGGCTGCTGGCTCTCTTAAAGGCTTATAGCTGAAATTTGAAATGATAGAGAGGGAGGGAGGAAAAAAACAGTAACTGGAATGTTCATTGGTTGCAGCTGGGCATCGTTGGAGCAATATGGACCTGGGCTTAATGCAGGAAGTGTGTGTGTGTGTGTGTGTGTGTGTGTGTGTGTGTGTGTGTGTGTGTATGTGTGTGCGTGTGTATCTTTCTGCGTGTGCGTACATATGTGCATGGATGTCAGTGTGTTTATGTGGTCATGCGTGTGAGAGAAGAGGAACGAGATATTGGGTTAATACGGACCAAAGCTTAGACATTTTCAGATACATGTGTCTGTGTCTGTGTGTGCGTGTGTGTGTGTGTGTGTGTGTGTGTGTGTGTAAACACATGTATGCAAGATCCCGCATGCGTGTCTGCTTGCATGCCGGCATGTGTGTGAGTGACAGAGATATTAGAGCAATATGAAAAAGCTTAAGCCGGAAGTATGGTGTGTGTGTGTCTGTGTCTGTGTGTGCGTGTGTGAAAAGTTTTGGTTGAGAAGCAGAGAGGAGGGGAAGAAAGGAGAGAAACAGCAGAAGACTGCAGAAAAGATCACATTATGTTTTAAAAAAGTGAACAACAGCAGATAAGAAAGAGTTCTCAAATCTGTTTCACATAACTGTCTGTGGAAAAACACATTGGAAATAAGACACTTACTCATACAAAGTGATATTTGAATTGGATTGTCAGCTGTTTATAAATGCTGAATTATTCACTTCAGGTGATTGTTTTTTAAATACTTATTTTTAGAAGTGAAATTCAGCCCTGTAGTTGGAAACAGAGTAAATGTATCACACGTTGTCAGTTCCACAGCACGCAGCAGATGAACAGAGCTAATGTTCTGCTGCTTGTCTTGGTAACGGCAGCGTCTATTAGAGGTTCAAATAATAGTACAAATCTATTACAACCCTTGATTGAAAAATCTGCAAAGGCAATTTTACACACGCTCAAACTAATTTCAAAACTGCATGTTACATATCAGTGTGGGAGTGTTTAACTGTCTTGTTTCTCTCCCCCAAAAAAAGGAAAACCTTTTTTACAACCTGAATAATTTAGAAACTTTAATAAGCTTGATTAAAATGGATGTGTGTGTGTGTGTGTGTGTGTGTGTGTGTGTGTGTGTACACATTTGATGTTTGTGTGTAGGTGCATATTTGAATCCAATGTACAATGAGACCCAAATGAATTATAAATGCATCCAAAATATCTGCTTTAGAAGCCTCCATTCAGAGACTTGCTCTAGCGGCGTTATACATAAAAGCACGGTTGCTGTGGGACTGCATCAAACATCATACACAATAATCTTGACTCCTTTGAATAATTCAAAGTGCTGTCGTTGTTCTTAGGAAGGGCTATACTTCCCTCTCTGCATCCCTTTATCTGCCTCTCTCTCTCTCTCTCTCTCTCTCTCTCTCTCACACACACTCTCTCTCTCTCTCTCTCTCTCTCTCACACACACACACACACACAAAGTTGCTCTTTCTGCAACCTCATCTATCCTGTTTTTTTTCTATCCCCCTCCCAGTGCTCCCCTTGTCTCTCTCATCTCCCCCATCCTCCCACCACATTTTCTACTGCTCCCCTCCTCTGACTCTCCTCTTCTAACCCCAGCCAGCAGGTCTACAAAGTAGTGTTTTCTGTGTGCCAGCATCAATTCCTGGAGGCCAGTCAGGCAAACAAACCCAGCCAGTGCCCGCTGCATGACTCACAGAGAGGCTGAGACCAAGAGAGAGATGAGGTAGAATCATTAAGATGAGAGGGCAAAAAGGATTTTAAGCTGTTAAGAGCTGATGAGAGGGGGCAGGTTGGAAATGGAGGGGAAGGCTGTAGGAGAGATTAAGAGGCGGATGCTAGGAGAGAGAGACTGGGAGATAGAGAGATGGGGGCAAATAGAGGGCAACCTGTGCGATCTTGCATGCACACGAGAAGAGCAGACAGGCACGCAGCTCAGCGAGGAGGCACGAAGAGAGCAAAATAACTCCTCCCTCTCCTCCCTCTCTCTATCCCTCTCTACCCCCCCCCTTCCCTTCTCTCTATCTCCCCTCTGCTCTGCCCAAAAAACGGAGCTCAGCGCGACAGCCTTACACGACACGGTGACCCGAGGCCGAGCGCAGTGCAGGGGTAAGGGAGGCAGAGACTGGGGTGTACGCTTGTCCTCTAAGGGAGGAAATGGGAGTGAAGGGATAGCACAGAAATATGTGCTGATGAATGACGATTCCCATATAAGTATGATTTAGATACAGTACATACACACTGTCAGTCATGTTATATCTTATAATACTTTTTAAACTGAATCCATTTTTACTGCTCACACTTCTTGTCATGAGGGGACTTTATAAGGGTCCACAAGCCCAAAAAGTTTGGAACGACTGCTTTAAACCTCGTGTATGATTTAACAGACATGTCATGAGAGCGGTCTTCCTATCTAACTATTCCATTAAAACCCAATTTCTCAACAAAAAGAATTATATAAATCAATAAATAGTGAGGACATGACCTCATTGTCCTCAGTGGCAGTTGGCTCTGAAATCAAATAAAACCTGCAAATGAGAACAAGCCAGATTGAGAGAAAGGAAGGTTAGATAAAAGGATTAGGCACATAAAGACAAGAGATGAGGTAAAAGATAAGACAGTAAGGAGAAGTTTGGCTGAGAAAGGAGAAGCAAATGAGCTGCAGAGGAAGAGGAGGGGCGGGGTGTTGAGTTCTTCTGCTGTGCCCCATGTGAGCTGTCTCTGGGCTGGGATAGACAGCTACCTCCGCCAGCCTCCCTCTGGACTGCATTAGACATGGCGCTCAGATAATACACTGCTGGGGATGGGGGGAGGAGGTGGCAGACAAGAGGGAGGGCTGAGCATGGGAGAATTCCTTTCTGATTTTAATACCACTGGGCCAAGACAAGAACAAATAATCTGATGAACAAAAACTCTCCCAAAACCACTGACTGTGAAATATCACGTAGCTCGTATTGAGAGCAGCGGTGCAGTTAACAGCATATGACCGACAGTAGAACTACCTCTCTCGCTGCATACTGTGCTGGCCAGAACTTCTTCAAAGCAATCATTTGACATTTTCGGTCAAACACTTATTTTCTTGCTTGCTGAGAGTTAGATGAGAAGATTGATATTACTCTCGTGTTTGTACGTTAAATATTTAGCTGAAGCCGGTTAGCTTAGCATAGCATAAAGAAAATAAAATCGGAGGAATCAGTTTGCTTGGCTTTGTCCACAGTTAATGCTCAGTAAGTAACACGTTATATCTCTTTTGAATCCGCACAAAGACCAAAGTGTACAAAATGACAATTCAATGTTACAGGGAGTTTAATGTGACCCAATTAAGCCTCCACAGATCACACTTTGAGAGACTTTGGTGAGCACTGGTTGGCCCTTTTGTTTACAGAAATGTTTATTACCACAACTGATAAATCTGAATCGTCGTGATCTGAATAAAGCCCAAGTTCAGTAATTGATCATTTTTCCTTTTAGATTCTTTATTTAATCAATGTTACATTAAACTAACATAAATAAAAATTTTATGAACAAAAGGCACACAGTTCAAATATAAACAAAGAGAACGTCTGTACAGTTTGTCTCAAAGAAACATGTCTACTGTCTCTGAGCGAGAGAGCGGTCCAAGAGAGATGAGTTTCAGGGGGTTTGTTGACAAAACGCTACAGCGCCGCCACCGCTGCAGCAGCACAGAGTCTCAGTGTGAAACTGTACACTCTTCAATCCCCCGCGAGGAACTAAAGCGGTGGGCGCGAAGGCAAAAACGCCAACCAGGGAACAGCACTGGCTTCATGTGAAACCTCTCTGCCCGGAGGTTTACAATATGTGTCTATTATATTAATATGTCCGTTTGTAAAAGTCCCACTGAAACTCATGTCCGTTGTCTGTTTGAAGAGGCCACAAGATTCATGTCCACCAAATTAAAAGTTTCAAATACGCAGCACATAGACTTGAAAAAAACAACAAAAAAAATGTATGGGCCGGAGGCTGGGTAAACACTCACTATGATTTTTGTAAAAGAATGACGGGGGGTCAGTGTCGCTATGATTTCTCTATGGAAGCGTTTGATTGGTTGGTTGCTGCTTCCTCAGAATAATACGGCTAGTTGGTCATTCACAGTACTGGCAGGACGCTAACTGTCTACTACAGCGTCTGTCCTGATGTGGAACTGAGCTCACATACAGCCATACAACTAAGTCAAAATGATAAGAGGACTAGGTTTGGTTTATCCTGCATCTGCTCCAGATCATAAGGTAGATAAAATCCTCATGTGTCCCGATGATCACCATTGAGCTCCTGTTCATACTAGATAACAAGGCGTGGTTTATGAGTCCAGTCAAGTCTGTTGTGTTCGCAGCTGTTGTCAGTTGTCATCCACCTCTGAACACTGGATGAAACAGGTGTCGTCCTCTGCTAGTCCAGTTTTGTCCAGTTTAATCCGGTCTGGACCAGTCTGTTTGTTCCTTACTGCAGTCCAGTCTGGTTGGATCCAGTTGACCTAAATCAACGTGTATTTGCAAACATGTCTAGACTGTTTTAACCTGTTTAGAGCAGCAGATGGGTGAAGTTTAGTCTAACAAAGTGATTCCAATAGAGTCGGTTAAAGCAACAGTCATCAAAAAGTACTAAACGGTACATTTCTGTTCCTTTTCATCTTGACTCCACCCATCTCGCACCTCAACAGACTAAAACAAACTATGAGTAAGTATTCGCAAATACAGACAGATCCAGGTCTGATCCAGGGCTTAGACGACGACAGTGCTGGGTACCTCCTCGTAGTGAATGATGAAGTAAGGGTAGCTCTGGTCATCGTTGAAGATGACATAGATCTGGGGGTCCACCCAGTTGTCCACACAGGAGTCAAAAAGGTCACTGGAGGGGTCACGAGGGTTGATGGGTGGAGGTCGCCTCATGGAGGGATTTCCTACAGTAAACCTGCATAAAGAGAGAGGACAGAGACAAGGTTAGTTATGTCTGCAAGTCTGGAGTTGCAGAAGAATAATTCACCATCTAAAAGAAGACTCTCTTCTAAATTTAATGATTACAAGCATGCTCCTCCTCTGTGTGTTTTAGGGGACCTTAAATAATATAAGCATATGCTGTAAGTGCATGAAATGAATGAACTGTATGTATATGAAACGAACCAGGGAATTGGAACCAGTTTGTTTTTTCCCTGTCTTAAATATTCATGCCAGGCTTTAAAGACTCATAATCCATCAATCTTTGTACCACTTTCTCTGGGGTCATGAATAAAACATACTAAAATAAGAACGTTCAGCCACAGACAAAGGCAGACAGTGGGTCGAGACGCTGAAGAGTCTGTGTGCCAGACAGGAGAGTTAACCACACCGTACAGATAACTTCCTTATTGGTCTATAGCTCTGCTCAGGTCTGGAAGCAATGTCTCTGTCTGTGCAATGGAACAGATTGAACCCAGGTTTGGTGTCCTCTGGGCGCACCACAAACTGTCCACCGCAGCATAACAAAGCTGGTGATGTATGATGGGTTCAGCCAAATCAGCTGTTTTACATGTGTGGCTCTTGATTTGCTTTAGCATTTTAAGGATTGGGAGTAGCATGATGCACAGCATGACTGAATGATGGTTTATGGAAAAGAACCTCATGATTTCCATGATCCAAATTAATGCTCGTGTTCTGTAAATTTAATTTGAAAGGAAGAGATAGAGTCAGAAAGGGACGTGGTTTAAGCAGAGGTATGTGCTGCATGTGGTTGTAAAACAGAGCAAAAAGCTAATTGTTTTGATTTTATCTAAAAGATGTAACCATGATAAAAACTGGGTACATAAAGCCTCAATTTAGGTCACTTCCAGCTAACACAACAAACCAAAGCATGATGTCCTAGCTAAGATTAAATAGCTTATGCCACTAGTAAATACATGAGGCAAAAGCAAAGTATCCCTTTAATATCTCTGGTTGCATTAGATCATTGCTAGCAGTGCTGTAAATCAATGGGCAGGACTGCTTTATGGCAATATTGGATTTATATTATTTTGCATCTGTGTAATGTAGTACGCTGGTTTTTCACTGCATTAGCCAAAACCAGGCACTCCATCTTGATTCTCAATTCAATGTTCTAAAAATGCTATGTATATATATATATCAATATTGTCATATTAAATTACAAACATTTCATGACCAACCCCTAACAACGTTTTTTTGTTTTGCAGGGATGAAGTTGCAAGAGGAAAGAGATGTGAAAAGTCCCATCCCTGATCAAAGACACGAAAAATGTCCCACAATCAACTTGTTAATGCAGCACCCCCTACACACCTGCCAGTGAGGACTTTGGCCAGGAACATGCAGTGGACTCCTTTGGGTGAGCGCTTGGAGAAGTTGTGGGAGTAGACAGCCTTGCGGGCAAAGTAGGAGCCCTGGCCAAACATGGTGGCGTGTTTGCCGCAGACTCTGGGGTCGAAGTTGTGCTTGCAGATGCCCTCCACCACGTCGGCCGAGGTGCCGTGGAAGAGGTGGCGCTCGCTCAGCAGCCGGTCCATCTCTGTCATACGCCTCGACATGTACTCCTTCTTCCTGTTAGAGTAGGGAGAGGAGGGAGGTGAGATGGGTTTTGTTATTAAAATTAAATACTTTTTAGTGTTCAGAGCTTATTATTATTACATATTATACAGTAGAGAGTATATTTATAAGAAACTAGGAACTAGAAACAAACAAAGACACCACTCTTTATCCTTTACGGCAATAGGCTGATGCACAAAGACAGATCATCTCTCAGGTGATGAATTAGTAAACAGCTGGGAGCAGTCCTGCTATTTCTATTCAAAAGTTGTGATCACGGCCTTGTTTGCTCTAACAGCGAGTAAGAACATTGGGCCTAATCCGTCTTCTTGAGCAACGCACACACACAGCTCATTTGATGTGAGCGGATCAATCAGGCATGCAGAGGCGAAAGCGTTTCAGAGACAGAGAGGCTGTGACCCAGGCATGACCTCCCGTGACCCGGCAGCTTGTGATCTGACACGGGCCGACACTGCACGCATCCAGGAACACACACACACACACACACACACACACACACACACACACACACACACACACACACACACACACACACACACACACACACACACACACACACACACACACTTCAATGTCCTTCTACCCAATTTTATCCAAAGTTTTTGGATGATGCTGCTCAACTTCCTGCTCAACACACAGGCACGAAAACAAGCAGTTGTGGTTTCCCTGTCATAACTGGAGTGTGGGAAGATGAAATTAACTGACATTCAGAGGGGGCATCACTTTCAGTCAGTGACACACAAACACACACACACACACACGCACAACCACACACTGTCAGTCATTTTGAAACCGTGCGGTACCAGTCAGTGTGGGAGCTTAACTGTCACAGCTGATAGGACCTGCCCTTCTCTCGCCGCAGCGGTTAGCCCGCTGTGTTCGTGAAAGGAACATCCTCATCACCAAACATCTCGCCATCCTCCGTCTTCTCACACCACTGTTGACTCAATCACACGAAGTCCCACACAGCTGGTCTCATTTGCCCTATTTTCTTTTGTCTCTTGCATAGTTTCTCACCCACCCTGTTTGTTATTAAGAAATGTTCGTGTCTCTGTCTTTGAGTAAATATGCAGCTGTGAGTTCAACAACAGAAACGTAGATAAAAAAGGTTGACGATACATTTTGTGCCGCAACAGCGAAATAAGTGAAACTAGGACAAAAGAGGAACCAAATAATTTAACACAGCATGAAACCACACTGCACAAATATTTTGGTTAAAATTTGAGTTCATAATGTTACGTAAACATAGATATGAAATACTTATTTCTGTGCTTGCAACCTAATACTATCTAAGGTCTCAAAGTGTGGTCAAATTGTGAAAACAAATTACTATCAAATGAGCTCCATCCACCACTTAAAATCATATCATGCTTGTGACATACTAGTTAGTGATAATTTCAGCAGTGCAGCAGAGTTATGTTCAATAAAACCACAAGTGCGTCAAAGTCGTATGCCAGTCCACAGCTGCACCAAACAGCGCGTAAAGACAAGGGAATTAAAAACCTTCAAATCTGACGGCTTCTGACCCAGACAGAAAGGTTTCTCTTCTGTTTTTGTTAAACATGTTGTCGTTGGTGCTGGTTACAGTTATTGGAAATGATTCATGACTCTGAGGTCAGATTAACAGATAATACCTCCAACAATGAGGATGTGCTTTAAAAAAGAAAGTCTTCAGTAAAATGCTTGCGCTCCCCGGCTCACCTCTTGTACTTCTCCCAGAGGAAGGGGTTCTGCACACGCTGGATCTTGAGGATCCTGAACTTGGTCTCTGACACCGTCTTGTGGAAAAGGCTGTACACCGTCCGGTAGCTGCGGTCTTCGCGTGACACCGGCACCTGCAGGAAGTCCTGGCTCATCGTCATTGGCAACCATGTTTCAGGAAAAAGGCTGGGTGGGTTGGTGGTCGTCGGCGAGAGAGGGTGCGACGTGGAGAGATCCATGGATGAGGATGAGGAAGAGGAGGAGGAACAGGGGAGTGGGGATGAAGAGAGGCCGCCCAAAGTCCTAGACAGAAAGAGAGAGAAATAGAAAAGATATTTGGTTAGAAACTTGCTACTTCAGTACTAGATGCTTGAGTTTGCCACATTGTCAGTGGATCAAATACATACACAGACATTTATAATCACAAAGTACACATAAATAAAAAATATATAAAGTACATACACGCGCACTTGTAACCTGTTCCTTAAAGCTGTGTTTGTGCAGTTTCTTCAACTAAATGTGGTAACACTTTAATTTATGGGTCCCATAATTTCCTGTAATTTCCTACACAGGAAATGACATATAACTGTAAATTCAAAGGAAGACCATTAAAGAGTCTTTCATGTAGAGCTAATGAAAGGGAAAATGGAAGTGTCATATACACTTTAAATTAATCAATTTTTATTACTTGCAAAAGTAAATTCCTGGAGTCTAAAGAGTAAGTGTCAACAGGTCAGCCTAACATACAAAACTGTGAAATTTGTAAACAGACACAAATACAATTCAGCATATATGTAGAATAAATACAGCAATAATTAATCCATACTTATTCAGGTTTAGAAAGAGCATTGATTTAATTTTGACATAACTTCATCAGAGTAAAAGACTTGACTTTGATGAAGACATGCTCCATGTTGAAAAGCTCCTACTATAAATGTGTGCTCCAGATCTCCTCATTCCAGATAGTGATTTTTCATTTGCCAGTGGCCATCCCCGCTGAGGGTCAAGACAGAAACGTCCCAGCCCAGTTCATTTCAGCATCAACCACAAGCTGTACATCCCAGCGTGCTACCCATCTCCACTGCTTCCTGCAGCACTCCTTCACATGTGTGACCAATCAAAGCTGCATCCTAACGTAAAACTAAAGCGCCGTCTGCTGTGATGAACCGAAAAAGTCTAGGCTTCCAAACTCATATCCCATCGACTGTCAACAATGACATCACTGCGCTGCGGATCGGAGCCGCTCCACAGCAGCCGCCAGCCGTCACTGGCCAAACAAAACAGCAGGGCCGCGTGAAAATGAAACCCAGACACGAAACAAGGCAACAGGGAGGCAGAGCGAGGGAGAGAGACAGAAAGGAGAACAAGAGAGAGGGAAGAATAAAAATGTCAATTGCAAAGCTGTCATGAAAATGACAAAAAAGCGATTGTGCCTGGCATTTGAGTCAATAACAATGGTTTGGCTGTCAAGTTATCGTTCTCTAAGTGTAAATGCTGTTAGCCCTATCAGCCATAAGACATTGTTCGTTGTGTGTGTGTGTGTGTGTGTGTGTTGTCAAGAGACTGTGATCAGTGTGACTCTAAATCAGTGCGACAGTCTTTTCTCATCTCTTTTTTCTCTCTCTCTCTCTTATCTTGTCTCTCCGGTCTCGATCCCTCCCCGCAATCGATGTCTCTGTTCCCCGTGTGCTTTGAAGAGATCACAGACAGCCTGCTGCAGAAAACAAGTGTGAAATGAAAAGGGACAGATAACAAGAGAGTGACGGAGTTGAGGAGTGAAAGAGTGAAAAGGAGAAAGATTGGGGATGGATAACAAGGGGAGGAGAGGAGGAGATAGCTGAAAATAACATCATCTGGAGGGAGAGAGATGACAGAGGGAGAGGATGGGGGAGAAAGGGAGAGTGCCAATCAAGCTAATGACCTCAACCTCTAAGCCTAGCACAGATTGTTCCTGATACACGAACACACACAATTGTTTTGGTCACTTGGGAGGACACTGCATTGACTTGCATTTATTCCACTGACAAGAAAACCCACACAAAATGTAACCAAAGTGCTGAAGACTGTAATGGTTTGCCTGCTTTGTCTCCTCATAATGTGCAATAATCTCTATAATCTCGAATAACGTCTCATCTCAGAGTGACTAATTGAATCAAACGGACGAAACAGTCCCAGGAACAAAACCCTCGTTCCAAATTCCAGCTCCACACACATTTCACACTCCTTCACTCACCAGCTCTACTCTGCTGTGTGTGCACCCAGTCTGGAAACCATTTAGGCCTCTCTCTCTCTCTCTCTCTCTCTCACTTCCTCTCGCTGTGCTCTTTCTCCCTCGTTCCTTCTCCGTCTCCTGCTTCCTCCATCTAATTTTCACTCCCTTTCCTCCATCTCCTGCTCTCCATTTTGTCCCCCTCTTGACTGTCAAGCCCGCCTGTAGGAACAGCTCGTGCTAGTGTTCACTCTGTGTGGGACACTGGCAGGACACCACCGCAGCAGCCTGCTCGGCAAAGGAAGTGAAGGATTCTGCAAATGGGGCGAGATGACTCCACTTGTTTCCAATCTGGTATCACTTGTTTCAGGAAATATCAGTGAGGCGAGTGCAGCGAGGGCGGATCACTTCACTGCTAAAAAGGAAAATGACTAAAAGATGAAAATTCATGAAATTAGCTCAGGTCCTCGGACAGATCTCATCTCATTCACAAATTTTCACCAGTTACGCAAAAAATAAGATTTATGGCCAATTTAAACTATTTTGGTGGAACCTTTTTAATCTTGGGGGCCCACTGGATAGAGTTCTCTGTGTATCTCTTGTCCTCTGTCTCATCTGTTCTCATTCGCCTCATTATCTAATTTCCTGTCTGGTTCAGGCCCGCTTCGTCCTGCACAAGACTGCTCCTGTGTCCCGGTGACTCTCTTTGATTTGCCAAAAATCTGAACTGTTAATATGGGTCTCAAGTTCAGCTCAGGCTGCCAATGCGCAACAGCACTGGAACGGATTAAAGGTGAATGCAGTGTTCAGAGGCTTTTGAGTATTCAGCCCTGACTGCGACATTAGCATTGTGTACCGACCTCTGTGTGCCTGCCTGTCTCCAAACAGGGACTCTCACAGAACACAGAGAGCCACAGGGAGACAGTGTATCACATACTGAAGAGCCAACTTTGTGTGTGTTACTGTGCCTGCGTTGCCAGGCACTTTATGTAAAATCGAGGACTTAGTCAATGTGGCTTCATATCCAAAAAACAAAATGTTCTCTAACAAGGTTGAGATCTGAGCGCCCAATGCTGTGCGAGGACTCTTCCAGAGAGTACAATGGGAACTAGAGGGGGGAGTGAAAGATAGAGACAAAGAGAGACTATCAATCAAGTGAATGACCTCTACCTTTCAGCTGAGGTCTGACTGTTCCTGACACTTAGTATTAATTACCATCAATCCTGAACCCTAATGCTTATCAGACTGTTTTGTTATCCTTCATGCAGGATGAACTGCTCAGAAACAATACCTTTTTGCAACCACATAGCATCGACAATACCAAGCATCGTGTTGTCCAGCTCGTCCTTAACGTGGCGAGATGACTGGCTGAAACAAGAGTCAGCAGCCTGACGACCGTACGCCAACAAGCTTACATGGTGATGTTCAGCAGGTAGAATGTTTACCATTTTAGCATCGATATACACAAAAATTAAACTTTCAGCAGCTGTATCCAGTTCTCCATTAATACATCCATGAGGGCGACAGGACGCGTCATGTGGAGTTGCAAAATATGGAGGTTAGTCGAGCTGTGGCAACAGAAGGCGTGCCTCTTTTGATATTTCTTCCTCCTCCCAGCATGGCCGATATGAACGAGATAAAGTCTATACACGCCAACACCTCTTTTTGTACAAGTTTCGACGATTGGCACACAGGATGGCACAGATGATCAAAGCAGCATGTTTCTGCCTTGTTAGCAATTGCTAGCAAACAAACTTCTACCTGCCTCTGAACGTTTAAGCTTTACTGACAATCGTCAATAGCCACAACAGAATCGCAGATTTAGCTGGAATTAAACAACATTTCTAAAAACCCTACAGTGTATGGCCAGCTCTATTTTAAGAGCAGAGGGGATAATGAAATCAAATGTTAAATGTCTTTACTTACTGTAGGTGGGGTATAAGCATCACAGACGACATAAACATGGGCCGCTTCTTGATCTGACGTCTGAACCCGAAGACCGCGTTCTGCTGGAAGCCCTCCCTGATGTTGAGGATATACTGGTTCTGGAGCGTGATGAATCGCACCTCCTTAAGACCCCTCGAACTCGCCTCCTCTATGAGCTTCACAACCGGCTGTGCAGGAGAAGAGGGTGAAGAAAGAGATCGACAAAGACATGAGGAAGAGCTTAGACTCAATTGTTTATTGTTTTATACAGTTGACTGTTCTGCATTTTCACTCAACAGAGGGAGGAGGAAGGCAGAAGTTGGAGAGGGAAATGTCAGTGAAGTGTGGTGCAATGTTCCGATAACAAAAGGCTGATAACGAGTTTCAATGTGAGACACAAACTCACACATACACACGGATAGAAAACAGTCAATCTTCACTGATTCGCTGCAATAAATTGCAATTGGCTGGAGACAGCTGTGTCCCAAGGGGTGTATAGGTGTGTATGTGTGACCAAATCAATCCCATCACAGTGGTTAGACAATCGATTGGTGTGGGCAGAGTTAATGCATCTGGCCTTGTGTTCACAGAGCGTACACACAAACAAACACACACTGGCTCACCTCGGAGTATTCCCTCCAGCCAAAGTTGTCTCTGCAGTAGTATTTCCACACTGTGTGACAGCTGGGGGTGGGGTTTGGATTTGTTGTAGGCGCGGGGAGAAGGCTGGCGGGGGTGGTCAGTCGTCGGACGCGGTCAAACTCCAGGTCGCACACTCTCATCGCCCCGAAGTCTAGGGAAAACACTCGACCCCTGGAACACAAAGTTAAAAAATCAACAAAATCAGCAAAAAAAAGAATTACCTGCTGCAGTCAGCACGTAAAACATTAAACATTCACACGGCCTGCTAACATGTGGCTTTGGCACAGTGACCTCACAACCAAATGTCTGGTCATGACCTACTGCTGATTAAACCTTAAATTAACCCGAGTGCCCTGGAGCAAGACGACCAAACCTCTAATTGCTCACTCAGTATGAGTCACACAGGATGACAACATCAGCTGACATGACTTACATGCCACATTTAAGCTCACAGAGAATAGAAATAAAGCAAGACATACGCGACCAAAACATATTTACACGCTGAAAACATGAATGTCAGTGTAATGATTCACATAGTAATCTTATTCTTAATAGGCGCTCTTCTAAAGCTGAAAAACCTGAGAGTTTTTGTCAATATTTAAACCAGAATGACGTATGGGAGACTTCCTTCCAGAATATACTATTTCTGATATTCATTATGTAGCATGATGGCATGGTTATAGGGATTGTACAAAATCGCTCTCTTACCGAGAGTTAGATGAAAACATTAATCATTCTTTGGTATCGTTTTTCACCTCTAACTCTCGGAAAGAAAAATATGTTTATTTCCCAAAATATTGAACTATTTATTTGAAGCTTTGCCTCTCATTTTTTGTAATACTGCCATTTGTCTTCTCGCCGGCCCCTTAACAGAGCAGTCACTGGGTCAGGTTCAGGTATGGAAACAATTATTCTGTAACATGCTAAAGTGTTAGCATCTGCTAAGTAAATAAATGGTTGAAATGCATAATCTTATCATGTGCATGTAACCTCCCTTAACCCCTCTCTGTCTCGAGAAGCGTGGGTCAAAAGCCCATTATGTGTGTGTGTGTGTGTGTGTTTGCATCAGTCTCTCTACATTAGTCCTCCATAGGGCCTCTGGCAAATCCTTTCTGGGTCAGACATACCACTCACATAAATGTGGGCATCACACACTGGCACGCTATGCCATGGACGGCAGACAGACAGAGAGGCAGACGCAGACACACACTCACACACACTCACACTCACACACACACACACACACACACACACACACACACACACACACACACACACACACACACACACACACACACACACACACACACACACACACACAGAGACTTTGCAAGACACTCGCACAGGAAAAACACACAAAAACTTGCACACAGCCTGACAGCGTTAATGGGCTCATTGATTTTTGCCGGGAAACTAATTGGATGTAATGTCAAAGGTTAGACATCGTTGAGTGTCTGTCTGGAAATGTGTGTGTGTGTGTGTGTGTGTGTGTGTGTGTGTGTGTGTGTGTGTGTGTGTGTGTGTGTGTGTGTGTGTGTGTGTAAAGCAGGGGTTGTGTTCTGCCTCAGGTTTTTTCTAAATAAAGCACATGAATTATAGTCTTTAAAAGTTTCCCATTTAAAACACAGATGCTGAGGGGGACTGTTCAGATCTGAGTTATTAGTTCAAAAGCCTGGAGAAGTGAAAACTTCATATCAAGTATTTAGTTTCATCTACTATTAAGTGCAATTACTGCACACACACACACACACACACACACACACACACACACACACACACACACACACACACACACACACACACACACACACACACACAGTTTCGGCCAGGAATAATAAGACGTGGTGAGTAATTTTCCAAAAACACATATGCGCACTGACACAAATACTACTTATATATACTATATTTACAGTCAGTGTTTCTGCTAAGTCATGGGGTGACCGCATCTTTGCAGGAGGAAGTGAAATAAGAATTCATTCACTGAGCACGTGCAGAAACAAAACAGCAACTCAGGAATGAGTCACTGATTTGCAGATGACCAGATTAGCAGAAAGACTAGGCAGATAGATAACACAGATGTCCGTGAGTTGTTGTTTTCTCAACTGGCATTCAAGTAACTGAAAAAAGCGTGATTCCATTTCATACAGAAGAAAAACGAGAATTACATTTGAATATGAAAGGCAGAGATAGAACAGAAAAACAGAAGAGAAAAGGTTGATGGTAGCAGAAGCAAATTAACTGTGAAAACAGTACATCCTTCACTTCACCTCCGGTCAGCCCGTTCTCTTCTGCTCACTTTGTTTTCTTAATTTCTTCTCACTTTGTTCTGTCGTCTCTCTGCTCTATTCACTACTTTTTTCACAGTACGTCTCTCTGTACTCTCTGTCTGAAAAACAACACTCTGGATGCACCTGCATGGCTCTCTCCCTCGCTCTCTTTTACTGTCTGTCTCTCGGTACAGAACACTTTCTGCCTGCAACAGTGTGTTATGGTGACAACAGCTTCTTTATACATGTGTGAGAGTTATGTACCATGCACACATATATTCAGCTTTCATTATGAGGAAGTCAAGTGAACTTTGTCACATTTACAGGCACCCTCCCCACCGCCCTCTCACACACACACACACACACACACACGCACACACACACGCACACACACACGCACTCAGATGAAGACAGGTCTTCGGGGAGGTCAGTCAGTGAGTCCTTTTCCCTCCCTCGCTCCCAGACTAGTTTGTGCTGTTCTAAAAATAAAATTCCGCAAGTTAAATTAAGTGCACTGAAATTCGGTGCTTTCGACGCGGAGGCCAATCAAAAGTTGGAGAGGCACACAAGGCATGCCCACTCTGGCAATGTCGACACTTTTCAAGACCACGCTTGAAATGTCGGGCTGCTCCAAGTTTGTGCAACAGTACACAGACACACACATACACGAAAGTCAACTGAAAATGCAAATCTAAAGAGCAGATTTGGAGCAGCCTATTTTAGTTTTCCTGGAAAAAGACATTTGAATGGAAAACCTAACTGCTGACTCGGGATGGATGTTTGTATGCTAAAGGTGAAAGAAGAAGGCCCTTGAGCAAAGCACATGGCACTGAAAAATGCACCAAAGCTGCTGTGTTCTTGTACCGGGAGCTCCCAGGTGTGAATGTGTGGATCAGAGCTGAATGTGGGAGCAAGGGTGTTGGTGCTGGAAAAAAGCTTGTTCAGCAAAACCATTCCCTAGATAAATAAAGGTTAAGAAAACTCATTGCACTGTCAAAATGGCTGTTAATCCTCCACACTGCCTTAAGCACACACACACACACACACACACACACACACACACACCTTCAAACTTTCTCACGGCTGCACACACAAGGACCCGCATACCAGCATCAGTCATGCCATTGTGAACGTCACAGGCTAGGAAAAAAATAACATGAAACCCTTACTCCTGCTCACGCACACACGCGCACACACACACACACACACACACACACACACACAAACATACACAAACATACACACACATTCTTTCGACAGATTCACAAACACACGCACAATCTTCATCCAGTCACGCCTTGATAAGTCAGTCAGTCAACCAAATCAGCTGACGAAGGCTTACTTCCTTCACACACACACACACACACACACACACACACACACACACACACACACACACACACACACACACACACACACACACACACACACACACAACCTTGTTGTCATGGGTTAGTGTCATTTCCTCATGTTAAAGCTATTCACTTTGCAGTTATCTACTTAAATGTGCTCGATTTGAATTTGTTTTTTAAGCTCTTGAGGCTGTGAATAACATGAAGTCAACCACAAGCAGAACAGGAAGAAATGTACTCTGTCGTCTCCTCCGTGTCCTGGATTGTTCCTCCTCTAAAGCAGATCATAAAGTTCATGGTTCAGGGTGTCCTCTCTCTCTCTCTCTCCCTCTCAGTCCTTTAAACCTCTCGAGTACAAAGCGCGAGACAAACAGGGGTAAGATGGGAAGATAAATGAGTTTGACATTAAAAATAACACACAAAGAGAAGAGCTGATGAGAAAAACACAAAAAAAAAGTGAAAAAGGAAAGCACAAACACGTTTCCAACATCTCCCGCACATCTTTAGGCCTTCAAGGGACAATTGTGGAATAAAAAAAGAGATAAAAGAGAGAAGGGGAGTAGAAGAGAGAGGAGGAAACATAGAACAAGAGTGAGGAAGGATTACAGAGGTAAAGCAGGAAGAGGTGGAAAAAAAGATTGAGAGATAGAGGCAGACTCTGAGTAATAAGAGGCACAGTGACCTAGACCTCGCCCCACTGATTCATGGCATGGGCTGTCTGACATGTTATAGTCACACACACACACACACACACACACACACACACACACACACACACACACACACACACACACACACACACACACACACACACACACACACACACAGAGCGGACACACTCAGCCTGATTATCTTGACACCGCCTCTTTTCATACACACAATCACCACATGCAAACAAACTCTCACAGACACAACCATCCTTGATTTTCTTTGATTCGTGACACAATGAGGTAACATGGAATCCCCCTGCGATATATATAAACCCACACAAAAACACAAAAACACACAAACAAACACACCTTGGTGTCAGGTCGCTCTGCCCTTGGTGCTCGGTGTCCCTTTATGTCAGTTAATGACAAGCGAGGCTTTTATCACCTAGCTGACAAAAGAGTCTCGCTCACACGTACATATAAAAAATGTGTGTTTCGTCATGGTAACGCAAAAAAAACAGCAAGATGTTTATTTCCAAGTCCAAAAGTCCCCCTGTACGCAGATATTACAGGGAATCAGCCCAATTATAGGAGATTTGGTTCAGAATGTGTGTTTTCCTGTAAATAACCAACGTAACACTCTTCGAATCAGCCGAAGAGTGTTTTTTATATTTTCTTTCTCACACACACACACACACACACACACTATAACAAGACATAAATCTGTTAGCAAGCAACTGTACAGCCGAAGATTATCACAGCATAACTTTTAGAAGAGATGACTGGGACATTCCTCCTTACTGCTGAGTTCATGACTAAGGCGGATTAGACTTCCATTCCTGCTTATCATATGGATGGGATTAACCTGTGCTATGGATCATACACACATGGGAACAGCTCGGCACAGAGCACACACTCTCACATACATATGGACTACACACAATCAGATACAGACGCACAAAAACGTCGTCCCCTACCTCTCTTCTGCACACACACACGCACACACACACACACACACACACAGCAGAAGGCAAAACAGGCCTGTGTTGCCATACCGACAGTAAAGCTTGTTAAGTCATCTGCTGCTCTTTAGATCACTAACGATGTTATCATTTGGCTATGGTAACCACGGTGATGCATTCGCCCGGTGTGTCTGTGAGTGTGTGTGTGTGTGCATGAAAAGACAGGCTGGGTTGCGTCTCTAAAGAAAAAGTATCAAAAGAGCTCTCACACACACCCAGTGCAACACAAAGCTTCGAGTAAATGACTGAACTGAGCGCTGAATAACCAGAACAGTGTGAACACACCGCGCAGTTCACTGACTTTCATGTTTGTCTCTCATCAGCACTTAGAGCCCCCAAAACCGTCTCAACATGTCACCGAAACAAACAATTTAATGATATTCACATCCACTAGAGGCAAGTCAGCTACCTATTTTCACTTCTAGCATGTGGTGTAAATAAACACCGGATTAGAAGAAGCAACACAATAAACCACTTCTTTTTAAAACCAGGAATTACTTTAGGCGAATGGCTAAGCACGCTAAAACCTACAAACCTCTGACTTGTCAAAGAAGTCACGTGTTATAAGAATGAAAATGTTTTACGTCATGTAAAATATTCTATGTCATGCTTTCACTCTACCGTTCTCAAACAGTCTAACCTGTTTTTATGGCCAGGGTTAGAAAACTTCAATATACACAGAGCTTTCTCCAGCCTCCCTCTGGAACTCCCCAAACAAATCTGTGGCTGTATCCGTCTGCCCACATTCAAATCAAAACTCACCTTTTATGAACTGCTTTTAATGTGTGATTAATGTCTTGGAGTATCCTGAAAATCGCCCTATAAATAAAATGTATTATTATTATTATTGTAGAGAGTTTTATGCCCCCGGCGCTTGAGAAAATGTAGAAAGGAACTCCAGCAGAAGCTACAGGAAGGGTTATGATAAACAATATCCATGAGAATGTATTTGATAGCTACAGACCTGACAGGTGAGATTTAAAAAGGGCTAGCAGTGCCTGGGAGGGTATGTGAAAACAAGTGTGATTGTCTAGCTTGTAACAAAACATTAAAGTGTGTCAAGAAGATTTAAAAACCATACAAATATTAATTTAGTGCATGTTCAGAACTAAATTACTTTCGCTCAATATGAAGGAAAATATTCATTATTACTGTCATAATGACAACAAATACATGTCACATTCTGGCATTCCTAGTTTCAGCTGAAGTTTCAGTCAAGTGAGCCAGATGGTCCTGTCTGACTGTGTGAGACTGACACACACTCAAAAGGCCTCTGAAGAATTTGGGTTGACACCACCAGGTGCATATCCTGTTTGTGGAGCAATATGCACTTTGCATAGAGTTTCAGTTGAAAACATGAGTCAACAAGTCAAACACACAGACACATACAAATCTCTGTACACACGCAAACCTGTGTGTGTGTGTGTGTGTGTGTGTGTGTGTGTGTGTGTGTGTGTGTGTGTGTGTGTGTGTGTGTGTGTAGTGTCCACACAGACATAAACAAAGACAAACACATATGGCTGCTCAAAGGGCTCAGTTAATCATGAACAACCCGGTGATGTGATCGGGGGTGTGGCGTGGTTAATAGTTGGAGGTAATAATGGCATAATGCTTTGTCATCGACTACAAAGACTGCACTTTTAACCCGATTCAGATCAATAATGTGACTAAGACGGTGTTTCAATTTCCAGATTACATGAACCAATTGTAAGATTATATAGGAGTGAACATAAAATAGTTCAAATGAGGCATTTTACAGCTTTAGTTGCCTTAAAGATGTGTCTAAAGTTTCAATAAACAATGGCTATCTGTGTCTTTGCTGATTTTGGGACGAATATGAAAGTTCAGCTGCTTGACAATGTTTGTATTCTGCAACTGTAATTGTCTCAATGTCAAAAAATGAATCAAGAAACTATTCTGCAGATTTATCATTAATGAAAATGTGTATGTGAAACTAGAAAGAGCAGTTTACTGGCAATGTTTTTCATGAACATAGCTCGAGGCTTAAGTCAGGTGGGACTTTGTGGGCTACCGTAGAGGAGGGCATCTTCAGTCATAAATATAGTAAACAGGAATAAAAAAAGAATAAACAATAAGAAACCTGCATTTAGAATAAGGTCAACAGTCCACTGACTCATTGTGTGCAAGTGCTCGTGTGTGAATGTGCCTGCATGCATTACAGTTTCACAGGAAGTGGTACATGCTCCTTTATATCACCCCACTGGGGCTTGCCAAGTGCTTGCATGTGTGTGTATCTATGTGGGTGTGTGAGAGAGTAAAAGAGAGGTTTATCTTTGTCTGCTAAAAGGCGTGCGTGTGAGCACTGCAAGCCACTGAGCCTCTCTGTGCAGCCAATTCGTGTGAGCGTCTGCGTGCCAAGCAGTGTGAGTGTGTGTGTACACAGTGGTGTGCATGTCTATGACCGAGGGAAGGAGGGAAGCTGCCAAGTGCGTCTGTGTCAGTGACCGCACAAGGCAACTGAGGGTCATAGAAGTTCACAGCTTTCTGCCATGAGTGCTGCAAAGTCTGGTTTGGATGGCGCTCCAGCCAATCACAGGCTGAGTTTGGGAGCAGGGGGGAAATACGGGAAATAGATAACCAATATCAGGGCTGGGTGATGGAGTGCCATGACTACACAAGGGCACGATAGCTGATATGATACACATTAACTAGAAGACACGTGAAAACCAAAACACACACACACACGGGGAGATAAAAGGACTAATACACGCGTTTACATGTGCATTAATAAAACCACATTTGCAGTACTAAGAACTGTGAAAGTAACACTGATACAGGCGCATTCACTTGGCTGCAGGCCATCAGCCACACATGTACATGACAGCTGTAGAGTCGAAGCCTTCAGTTTGTCACCAGCGGTGAAACCAAAGAGGAAGCTTGGGCCCAGGTCTACTGTTTCCAACACACCAGATCAGAAGTGCTTATCATTCACAGGCAACCTATCAGCTTACTGCACCATTGTTGCCATGTCACAAGTGTCAATAGCTTGTGAAATTCATAGATAAGTGTGACATGGAAACAGTGCATCTATGAATTTAGCACGCAGTTGCCTTTTCAGCGGTGCTCGTGGGTGCTGTGTACTACTTTCCAGCCCTAATAAACATACATGTTGGAAACCGATGCTCCTCCATTAGTACGTGAATTACGGTTTCAGTTCCTGTTCTGAATTGATTGAAGTGAAAGGGTTCACAGGCGCAGATTCAAAACAGAAATACAGAAACACTCTGTTACTGCTTCCCCCATAGCAGGATCCTGTATCTACCCAGAGGACATCCATTATACACAGTATAGGATAATACAGCCTGCAGGGTGCAGTAGACACTATAGAGGGATACTTACTGAAACTTGAGCCTGACTTGCTCATTGTCCGGGTTGCAGTACAGTCTCTCCAGCTGTTCCTGGGAGTCGTCTGCTATGCTCTGCCACGTCTGACTACTGCTCCTGTGGATCTGCCAGTGGTAGGGCAGCACAGTGTGGTGGTGGGCACAGTCATTGCCATAAACACACAGTCCTTGGAGGAAATCCACACAAATGTCCACCGAGTCCGACTGGTGCGTGTGATACTGGAGCTGGGTGAGCAGCTCAAAAACCAGGTCTAGGGAGGCTTCTTCGCTTTTATCCTGAAATAGCACTCTTTTGTCAGGCTGTAGGATGAGTGGATGGGGGTCCTGGACACCGGTGCAGTCTTTGACTGGAAGGCTTTTAGCCCCAGAGGTTAAGAGGTCATTGCTTTTGACGCCCCCCTCCTGGTGAGGAGCCTGGGCTGCAACTATAGGAGGTATATCCCTGCTGGGGGGCGTTATTGTCACTGTGCTCCCGGCTGCTCTGAGGCCAGGTTTTGGCTGAAAGCAGCGGCTGTCGGGGGTAGGGTCGTTGATCTTGGGTCGCTCCCCTCGCCGCTCAGTCTCTTCCAGCTCCGCAGTAGTATCGGCTATTTCCACATCACCGTCCCGGGTCATCAACCCCGGTACTCCAGTCCCAGCGGTAGCATCGTCAGCAGCTCCCGGGTCTTTGAGACACACCTGACCCATACAGTTCTGTTTCACCACGGCTGCGCAAAGGGTTCCCGGAGTCCGGCCCGGCTGGTTCCGGGGAACAAACACCCCATCCCCGGAGACCAGCGTGTCCGTGCTCAGTAAAGTGGTCAGTATAGGGTCCTCCAGGGCGCGGTGGAGGCATTTGGGGTCCAATTTCCTCTGCTTCTTTTTGAAATAAGGTTTCACCAGAGGTATTTTGTCCGGGAGCCCCACTATCTGCTGCTCCGTGAAATCTTCCCCTTCGTCCATATTCAAACTCATATCCAGGGAGATCCCAGTCGGTACACCGTCTGCGGATTTCTGGAGAATGTGCAAAGTTTTATCCATGATCCCCTCCTAAACCCCGACAGTCCTGAGAGAAACACAGAAAGAGAAAGAAAGAGGTAGTCATCAAAGTTAACACCTCTAATCCTATAATCTTAGTTTCCAAGGTGAAGTCATCCTGGCGCATAAAGCGATGATTAATAGGTTGCTTGGACAAGCAGTTGTGCCATAAAAAGCACTGTGAAAACGCATCTTTCCTTTCCTGGAAAGGAAAACATTCGCTCTCTACAGTATATATGCTGAAACGAAACCTGTTTAACCCCCCCGACAGCAACTAATGACCCTGCAGATATATCAGGAATAACACAGCAACAGCCTCCATAGTGTTCCGCTGACACAGGCACATTAGAAGATAAACCCATATAGGAATATTACAGGAGCAGCCTGTTTTAATGGCTCTCGTTTGGAAAGGAGAGAAGGGTTCCTGTCGCTTCTTGCAGCCAGTAATTGAAGCGGAAAAATATTACCTAATCCCCGCTGAAGGGAACTTGAGCACAGAGTCACCAGCCTCAGCTTAATCATATAAAAAAAGGAGAATCTATAGCCTATAATCAGCGTATTATAGTGTGTGTGTGTGTGTACTTTTATTCTGATGTCTTTGGTGCCCTGACTAACGTCATGCCTGCAATTACAGCTGCGTCTCCGAGCAGGAGCGATAAAATCATCAGTGTAACAAAACCTCTCTCTCCCTCTCTCTCCCTCTCGGGACGATATATTTTGATCACGGGAGTCCGATACGCAGCCCCTGCCGTCTACGTGCCTCTTACACATCGCTGCCCGAGCAAGTTTGCACGTAGGCTACAGTCGAGACACACACACACACACACACACACACACACACACAAACATACACACACGCATACAAGGCACTGCGGCGGAGCAGCGACAAAAGATAAACGGGGCACCCCGGAGCTTTATTTCACCAAGGCGCTACAGCAGCTTTCCTCCGGGTTAGAAACACTTCGACAGACCCGGAACGGTGTCGGATTAGGACTTTTTTTTTTTTAAACCCCCAAACACCGAAGCACTGCAGTAGTCGACAGGCAGGGTGATTTTTTTTTTGTTATAGCGCAGCTTTTAGACCCGATTCGAGTAAAGGACGGACACCCATGTCTACATTTCTAGTCGACAAAACCCTACCTGAGCGACAAAGTCCGCTCCTCTCCCCCGGGTCTCGGCACTCTTTGGTGGGTTAAATCCAGTGCGTACATCGGCGGAGCTCCGTATCCAGTCTGCAGATATTAGTATCCGTGTCTGGACTAGACTGTAGTCCGGTTAGGGTTTCTCGTGTCCCTCTGTTGCCCCCGTCGCTCTCACGCTCATGTCTTTCTATTTCATGCTGTCTGTCCCCCCCTCTCTCTTTGTATCCTTCTACCGGATAGAAAAGCGCAAGAGAGCAGAGAGACCGACAAAGAGCGGAGTACAGCTGTGGCGAGAATCGCTCTGCCTGCCTCCCGGCTCCGCACATCCAGGCCCCGCCCCGTAACCTGGTCGGAGGCGGGGCTTCGCTTCAAAGAGAGCAAGGAGGGGGGAGAGAGAGAGAGAGAGAGAGAGAGAGAGAGAGAGAGAGAGTCGTCTGGTGGTGATCGGAAGAAGCTGCATGGGGGGTGTGGGGACCCTCAGGGGCAGTTTTGCCGGGCCCCGGAAGTGATACAGAAAAAGCAAACAGGACTCTAAAAAGAAAATAAATGTAAATAGGCTATCATACAACTATTAAGGCAAACCAACACTAAAATTATATAGGAAATATTTTAAATCAGTAAACTACAGGTATAATGAAACGTACAAAACAATGTTATTGGGCCCCTATTTACCCACCCTAAGCAAATAGAGGCCTAATAACATGTTCCCATTCAATACAAAGAACCCACAAACAACCAGTACTCCTATATTGAACTACCCAGCCACAATGAGCTTGATGCCACTAAATCCTATACACTGATCCTTAAAGGAATATGGATCACATGAACATAAGATAGCAGGGGTCCCATTGGTGGGTCACCTGGTAGAGCGTGCCCTTTATGTGTCCTTACCACAGAGGGTTAGGGGTTCAATTCCTCATTCTCTCCCTTGCCCTTCCTGTCAATCTCTCCAGCTGTCACTGTCTATACATCTTTAAATAGAAAGAACACAATACAAAGGAAATGGGGTCTTAAAACTAGATTATGACACAAGAGGACACCCTCACCAAGGCAGGTTCTTAATAATAATGTAATAATGTGAGACCCCTTCTTACTTGTATGAGTTAGTGGTGCACATTCATGAACGAATTGACATGCAGTGAAGCAGGTTTTTGGGGGGCCCCCGGGGGTCTAAGGCCCAATGAAATTGCCTGGTTTGCCTGGTTCATAATCCGGACTTGCTTTAAGTAAAAGTGCTGTGAGGATCGTTTCCTTAAAGTAGCTTTCACCCACAAATGGATTTTTTTAAAGCTGTAAACACAAAAATAGTCTTATATTTTTTACCTATGATTTATCTTTAATGCCTTAATAAATATAATAATACATATGACCACCACATATAAATCCTTTATAAAGTACTGTATGTCTTAATAGAAAGTGGTAATGTGAAAGTAGCATTTTAATGTTGTATTTGGTCAAAGTAAATTCAACTGTTGAATTGAGTTGAGTACTTGATTCAATAATAATGTGTCATATTTTATATTTTGTAAGTCAAAATGTAATTTACAAATTAACCATAGCTATCAAATAAACGTAGTGGAGTAAAGAGTAGCCTACATTATTTGATATTTAGTGAAACAGAAAAATAAAATGGAAAATACAAGTAAATAAATAGACCTTTGCACCATGTAAATATGCTTAGAGATACAGTGTAATACAGGAATTATTTTGTTCACATAAGAAATTTGCTAACTGAAATGTTTTGTTAATTAATTCTTGTTTGAAGATGATTATCACTTTTCTCCTGACAGTTCTCGTGAAGAGGTGAAACTACAATGGGAACACTTTTAATGTTTGATCACACCAGGTCGTTGACACGAGACTAAACATGAAACCCACTGAGACATTATTACACTTCTACCAAAAAGCAGATCTGAAGATGAGTCATTTTGTTCAGATTTTCTGCTTTATTCATTGGTTTCCTAAAAGTAATTAGGAAGTTTGACCCTGTCCTGTGCAGCTGATCTGTCACATTACCATAAAGGAGTGTTGTGTTTACTGACTGTGCATTGAGTCAGCTTCCCTCTCCTCCCTGTTTTACCAGAAGTAGTTTTTTAGGAACCTGCTGTGCTGCACTGCCTTCACATTAAGTTTCGTTGTTTGCAGGCGAGGCTGCTCAACCAAACAGTTTCTAGTTTCTTAAAAAGGATTTCTCCAAAGGGCTGGTCTCTAAGCACAAAGAGCGAACTTACCGTGCAGTTGCTTACGTCAGATTGTAACAGCAGCAATTCAGGGATTCTTGTATTTTATGTAACAAGCTGTGTGGCGAGAATTATCATTTTCTGCAATCGCTTTCCAAATAACACTATATGTGACATCAGATGAGTGGTTTAAAAGATAAGCCTGCCGTGGAAGTCACAAGCTGTGCTCCATTATTCCACAACAACAGGAATTAGAGGCAGATTTCTAAAACTAGTTTATATTAGGGCCCCCTTTAGATTTAACCCATTAAGGTTTAGTGTTTCTCTCTGTAAGGAGGAGAGATACCAGTAGGATGAAACATTCAGTCTCGAACTTTTTCCTATTGTTCTAGAAAGTGAAATAACAGGAAATTAAAGTAACCCTCATTTCCCCCGTCAGGATCCCTGTGGGAGCCACTATGGAGGAAACACTAAATTGAATATGTTATTCTGGAGATTAATTGCCTATTAATCAGCCACTCAACACTGTTTAAAAGCATGTGTATCTTTTAACATCTCCCACCATTAACCCCATGAGATTTAGGTCAAACCTTCTGATATTGTGCCACAGCCATTTACATGCAAACCATAACACCCACAAACCACCGGTGGATCTGTGCACTGTTTTTAAATGATTTCTTTTTCCATGTGCAGGCCACAAGCTGTGGGGTCAAGAGGTCAGAGATGAACAGAAATGTGTATAACCGTCCTCCAGACAAACACCGATGCCGTCAAAGCAGTTCCAGTGAGGGGTTAGTAATTGGGAAATTACAGGCTTTGCTGCTGAAGACATGGGAGAGCTGACGTATATGAGAGTAATTGCCTGTTTGCATACCGGCGGATCTCGAGCATTCCTCCTCGGCTGACATGCATAACGACGTCCTATTGTTCAAGTTTTGACTTGTCTCAGAGGACGCCCTATAAAAGAGATACCTGCCTGCCAACTCCAGCTCGCTTGTTGTCTTACAAAAGTCACTGAGCGATCTCAACACATGAAACAACAAGTACTGGGCTGATTCTTTAATACATCTGAGAAGGAGTGCTGCTATAAAGTGTAATAACCTGAAGACAATACCGTCACATCTTTAAAAAAGAGATAAAATGACGTACCATATAGAGTGTGTCTGTACTGGGAGCATGATTAGAGTATTTATTTGGCAGCTGTTCTTGTACTGATGCTTCAGTCCCACTGGGTACATTTCAGTCCACCTGCCTTCCTGAGCAAGGAGGTCAGAGGTCAGCACAGCAGGGTGGATGCTGGCAGGAGCAGGAACATAAACCAAGGTGTGTTTTCAAACCCATGGCGGCCACGCTTAGTCCCAAATAAAATGGACAGTAAACCAATTCTACGAACTGAAACCACATGAAAGGGCATTAGGTGGGTCTTTGTAAGCGTAAGGGTAAAGGTGCCGTGTTTCAGCCCCCCCCCCCCACACACACACCTCAATCTTATCTGTTCACATGCCTGCACACAACACAATTACTGGAGGCAGATCAGTTAACCCTGGTGACAAGCCTTCAGCCTTGACACGCCTGTTTTACGCACAAAATAGTTCCACGGCATGGAAACATAAAAATACATTTTATTGAGGTAATTGGTGTTGGACTGGCAGTGGAACCCATGGGTACCATAAACAACGATGAAAGTCTTGCTCTATAATTATTGTCATAATGGCCAGTAATTTTGTCTCTTTCATGTGAATCACAATCTCTGGATTTTACACAACTATAGAGAAAGTGTAGGTTTTATAGGTGGAAAGTAACACGTTTTCTCATACATTATACTGAAATGCAGGACTTGTAATGGAGTACTTGTACACTGTTTTAAGTAGGTAAAGGATCTGAATATTTCCTCAAGCACATCACTGATATGAAAGCAGTGTGAGTGACCTGACACTGTTGGCTTCTCATGACTAAAGTTCTAGATATGTGTGTAACTTCCAACGCCCATAGCAGGTGCCTTATTTTGTGAGTCAGCCACACAGCTTGTACCATTCTTTCAGATCGAAACTGGTTCTGTGTTTGTCTTATACCACCTTTGAGCTGTGCCAGAACTTTTTAATGACTAATTGTGTTGTGCAAGAGATTAAACACCATGAAAATGAAGGAGTTCATGGGCTGTATGAAAGAGCCACATGAATACTGGGAATGCTAAATGAGGGGTAGTTATATATATTTTTTTTATTAAATTTTCCGACTCTTTCAATTCAGCCAAAGACAGAACACTGCGCATGGAAAATTGTGTGGAGTGCCAACAAGAATAGAAAAGATATGCATAAGTGGAAGTGGCATTAGGATAAAAGCACTAGGGCCAAACAGAACACTAAAACACGCCTGCATATACTTGTCTTACAGTGGTTGCTTCAAATCTAAAGCATACATTTTTAGGCCAGTGACGTCCAAACACCTGCTTTGTATTGCAGTGCACGAACCTTATCTGAATCTGTGCAGTCAACAAACTGTCAAACTGTCTAAATTAATGACTTCTGAACGCAAACAGCCTTTTACAGAGAGATGGGTAGCATCACTAGTAAGCTACCCGCCGCCTACACGTACCCCTATAGTCCAGATGTAGATCGAAATAAACAATCTCTCTCTATCTCTCTCACAATTTACTTTTAAATTTTGCTTTACAATTTTCCTGAAAGATGGCATATCAAAAAACCTAGTTTCTTGCAGGGCAGCTTTGATATGTAAACACACCCAGAGGTGTTTAAGGTGAGTGGTGAAATAAAATAGTTTAAATGGTTTTGTGTCCGGTCCTGTTTTGTGTATTGCGTTACAACTGCACACATACAAACAGGAAAGGAAACACCAGGGAGAAAGACATGTTTTGTCTGTTAGATGTGCATTTTAGTGAGAAGCACAATCTACTTTTAAAAGACAATGTCACAAAGGGCAATTTAAAAGAAAAGGCAGTGAGATGATGTAACCAGGTAACTAAAACGGTTGAATGGGATGTTAATGGGCTGAAGTGCTGGAGGGAACACTCTCTCTGTGGTGCTGCTAACCCATTATGAGGCTCCCTTCCCTGCTGCAGTATAAAGTGGCACCAGGAATTTCTCTATTGAACCTTCCTTCAACACAG